TTACAAAACAAGTCTCTACATGTTCACTATCAATATACTTACTAACAAATATATATAAAATCTGTCTATACTTCAACATATTTATGTGTTCAACTAAGTCAAGTCTCAATCAAACCTTTCCATTTCTTATTCTGACCAGTTATCCAACGATTCTATACATAACTTGTAATTCTACTCGTTTTCTTGTAGCTCAAACTTCTGTTGAAAAAAATTGTTACATCTTCAACATTGTCTTTTGTAATTGTTACTAGCTTGTTTTCACTTGTAACAAGATACTTTCCTTAATATAAAAACAATAAACATGTTGAATAACAAGGATTGCAATTAAACTTGCCCCCCCCAGGGGCACAGTGGTATGTCTGCGGACTTATACTGCTAGAAACCGGGTTTCGATACCCGTGGTAGGCAGAGCATAGATAGCTCTTTGTGTAGCTTTGTGCTTAATAACAAACAGCAACAACAGCAATTAAAATATGTTTTAAAGCTTGTAGGTCTTGGTGGAAATAACAGGTAGCCATTCAGTTTATTAAGGTAACTCCTCCCATCAAGACCATGCAATATAACAGGTAGCCATTCAATTTATTGAGGTAAGTATATTGCGTGGTCTTGGTGGAAGGAGTTACCTCAATAAACTGAATGGCTACCTGTCATATTGCGTGGTCTTGGTGGAAGGAGTTACCTCAATAAGCTGAATGGCTACCTGTCATATTGCGTGGTCTTGGTGGAAGGAGTTACCTCAATAAGCTGAATGGCTACCTGTCATATTGCGTGGTCTTGGTGGAAGGAGTTACCTCAATAAACTGAATGGCTACCTGTTATATTGTGTACAACTTTGGTAACTTGTTTTGATTATTTAGTTTGTTCGCGCTACCAACTAGCTTTCTGTTTAAATTTATTAGATCAAAGAGCTATCGCAATCGCTTGTTTGAGTTGCCTGTCCAATATGTTTGTACCATTCAAACCCTAATTTGTTTGGTTAAAAATAGGTCATTTGTTTCATCTATCTGCCTTGTGTCTGCACATTAATAAATAATTTCTTCCATCAACAGGTTTAATATTATGCATAACATCAATACAGAACAACATTCAAACATTTTGGCCAAGACTGTATCTGTAATAGAAAAATATATTATTTACTTTGACTCAATTTTTCACCCCACTCGTTCAGTTCGTCAAAAAACTTTCATGTTACAAAACAAGTCTATACATGTTCAACAACCAACGTACTTGCTAACAAATATTTATAAAATTTGTCTATACTCGAAGATATTTATCTGTTCAATCAAACTTTTTGATTTCTTACTCCGACCAGTTATCCAACTATTCTATACACAACTTGTAATTCTACTAGCTTTCTTGTAGCTCAAACTTCTGTTAAAATTTTTAAATATTATGTATCAGAAAACAGACAATCTGTATGATTTATCTTCCCAGTTTTCGTATGCCAACAGACAGTTAACTTCTTTCATTTATAGGTTAATATTATGCAACATCGAACAGACATTCTGCTTAATTTCTCTTTCCAATATTCCTCCACCATCAAATAGCTACCCTGTCGCTCTCTCCTCCTGATAGGAATTTAGGTCTTTGTGACCTAGGAGGGTCAAATGCGCTGGGACCTCTGTTTGAGTTTATTTGTTTGTTTTGAATTTCGCACAAAGCTACATGAGGGCTATATGCGCTAGAGGGAAGGCAGTTAGTCATCACCACCCACCGCCAACTCTTGGACTACTCTTTTACTAACGAATAGTGGGATTGACCATCACATTATAACGCCCCCACGACCGAAGGGGCGAGCATGTTTGGTGTGACGGTGATTCGAACCCGCAGATTGCGAGTCGAGTCGAGTGCTCTAGCCACCTGGCCATGCCGGTCCCCCTGTTTGAGTTATAACAGTGTAATATAAGCAGTCTTGTGTTTTTCTCCCGTTTGTTTGCCCTGACATTAAATGATATAATATGGCTTGTGTTCATGCCATAGATTTATTTTCTAAAATGATGCATATATAGAGAAGAAAGATTACCAGATAACCCAAGAAAATGACAAACTGACTAAAATATGAAAAAAGACGAATTAATTAGTATCAAAATATAAACAGTTTTATCTTCAAAAGGTACTGCTACGTCTCCGTTCATTAGTTAATTTTCCGTAAATTCGTTCCGACGAAACTTTAGCGACACAAGTCCTTTCTTAAATAAAACTGGTTTATTCTTTCCGAATACGACTTTACGATACACTTAATTTCAACAGTCGCTCTATAACAACACTATAATTCACGTCTCACGTGGCCAACAATATTTTGTCCGCATACGTTCAATTACTCATTACACTGTTGTCCCATCACGTTGTGAACGTCTTATATATATATACAAGACTAACACATATCTAGTAAATGCTAGGGCATTCTTGAAGGAACAGGATATTTCTAGAAACAGGTGGCGTGATACTAGTCACGTGACCTCGATGACGCAACAGTACCTTATAATCAAGCTTTTGAATTTCGGCGAGAAAGATACTTGAAGACCATTCTACCTTTGATTTACCACTTTTCACTGGATTAGACCGGTTTAGAGCAGTTCCAACGTCTCATCGCTAACCCTAAGAATCTAGAGCGGGTGGTGTATAAAAATATAAAGGTTCACTGCAGTCAGTAAAGGACAAGCCAAACACCAACGTATATCATCTACAGATGACTACTACTATAAGAGTTCCCTTTTTTAGTTTTTCTTGGTAGAATGCCTCGAGATTGATGTAACAGAGTCATAAGTGGTGAGATGAATGATAGACCGAACTTATCAATTCTTTCTTACTTGGCGATATATGTGATGCAAGAAAAGATAATTTTAATTATTTTGTCCAATAAATAGCCTAGAATAAGTTATCAAGCTTAAAGTTAAGCCTAGTGGTATACACTTAACCTGGTGACAGGAGCCTATAGGTAATATATAACCGATCATCGAGGCCAGAGAAAACCAGAAACACGGCTAAATAAGAACGACTTGCCATAAAATAAAAAAGTATAATTGTTGCGGACGAATATATAAAATACGGAACAGGAATCTTGTCGCATTTAGTTCATCGTTCAGGCTTACGAGGTCACAAACTTTAGGCCTGACAGACTTAGTGAAAAAAACTTAGGTTAGTATGTTTTCACTTCATTTTACTACTCGTGTGAGTTGAAACTTTCTTCTCGGGTTATTATCTAGCATATATATTTATTATTATTTTATCACAGTAAGAAATTATTTTCTGGGAAGTTTCGTAGTAATACTCAGTAAATCTGCTAGTGCGCTATAACAAATTGGTTAAAACCAATTTACGCCGGTTCTCATTAACGCCTCTGACATGTATAATTTCCATTTCTTTTCTAAAAGTTTTTATTTTCTTTATCAAATGTCACATAATTATTGAAACATTTAAGTATAAACATAAGGCATTCTAAAACTTGGTGTATGAATTCTAAAGTCGGTTTATATAGGAATCAACTTCACACAATGTAATTAGGCCTACTGGTATAAGGGCAAATCAATGCAACCGTCAATAATTGAAAACTCCAATTAGAAAATTCCAAAATACAAATGTTTTTTAACGTTTCGTTTGTCCAAGTAGATATGGAAATCAAGAAATACAAAAAAAAAAACATTATCAGTAATACCTTTACCACCTTTATAAAAACAAATAACTTTAATAAGTCATTTTCTGTTAAGAGTAACGTTATCAGCGTTTTAATAAACTATCAAATAAAAATTCTTAAACTTTAAGGTTATTCTTCTCTTATTCTGAAAAAAATTACAGTTTTGAAGGTATGCTCAAACTGGTAATTTAATTTGATAATAAAGATGCTTCAACACAAAAATACAAAACCCTATAACCTAAACGCTTTCTAAGGTGGACCTTTCTAATAAGGGGCATTCCCAGTTTGACCTGATGAAGACTTTTATAATGGCCCATATTACAGGGTTTTGTATTTTTGTGTAAAACTGATTTTTTAAGCCGACATGTTTTCCTAACATCACGAACAAATATGTTTTGATGAAGCAGTTTCTGTAATTATAAATAAAATAATTAGTTTAACTTTCAAAGTAATTATTACTGAAATGTGCTAATATAGCAGATCATGCAATATGATAAGCTTTATAATAAATGATAATTTAGTGTACCTCATCTTCCGAACAACTTAGATTTTCTGGGGATCCTTCTGGGGGTGTTCCGTAAGGGGTTTCGTTTTCATTTTCCGAGTCTTCCCTCCCAATCTGTTTGATGATTTTTTCTAACGAGCTCAAATCCATTATTTTCATACTTCTTTTGCTGTAGATTCCATAGTACAAAGGGTACGTCCAAAGTGGTAGAACATAACTTCCTGACTGATGGCGTCTAACTCAGGAAGCGAGAACTTCCTGGCCACTTTACATATACTGGTCGTTGTGGGTGTGTCACAGGAAGTACTGCTGTATTTTTAAAACTTTACTTCTAACTGTAACATCTGTATTGAATGTAACTTCTACATGTATGAGTGTGTGATAATTAAGTTTTCTGGTATTACAAATGTCAACCACCTTTTAATTACTATTACAATTTATTTCATTATATTTTAGAAGATAAATAACCTCCTTCTGCAGGTTTTATTTTTTTTAGTTGTACTACAGGATAATTTGTGGAACACGCAGATTACTTTCTGGAGTGTATTTATAACTTTACTTGTCTACAAAAAGAATGTTTTAGGCTGTCCAGAATACAGATGGGTCCTATGAGGCTGTCCAGAATACAGATGGGTGTTATGAGGCTGTCTAGAATCGGATGGGTGTTATGAGGCTGTCTAGAATACAAATGGATGTTTTTAGGCTGCCCAAAAACAGATGGGTGTTATGATACTGTCCAGAAAACAGATTGTTGTTATGAAACTGCCTAGCAGTCATATGGGCGTTATGAGGCTATCCAGAATGCAAATTAGTGTTATGAGGTTGTCCAGAATATAGATTGGTGTTATGAGGCTGTTCGGACTACAAATTGATGCTATAAGGCTGTTCAGAATAGAGATGAGTGTTACGAGGCTGTCCAAAAGACATATGGATGTTATATGGCTGTACAGAATGCATGTGGGTGATATGAGGCTGCCCAGAAGGCATGTGGGTGAGATGAGGCTGTACAGAAGGCATGTGGGTGATATGAGGCTGTCCAGAAGGCATGTGGGTGAGATGAGTCTGTACAGAAGGCATGTGGGTGAGATGAGGCTGTACAGAAGGCATGTGGGTGATATGAGGCTGTCCAGAAGGCATGTGGGTGATATGAGGCTGTACAGAAGGCATGTTGGTGATATGAGGCTGTACAGAAGGCACATGGGTGATATGAGGCTGTACAGAAGGCACATGGGTGATATGAGGCTGTACAGAAGACACGTGGGTGATATGAGGCTGTCCAGAAGGCATGTGGGTGATATGAGGCTGTACAGAAGGCATGTGGGTGATATGAGGCTGTCCAGAAGACAGGTTGGTTAAGCAATCATTTACATTGCGGTATTATACAACTCACTATTATCGACTTTCTTGGTCTAACTCAGTTATAACCAGCTGTTAATTTCAGCTGGTTATAACAATATATGTAAGAATGTGTACTATTTTAATACGATATGTTGTATATGATCGTTTTACAATGTTCTCCCCCCCCCCCCGGTGGTTCAGCAGTAAATCTGAGAACCAATAAAGCTAAATTCTATAGCCACCCCCCTCCGATGGCTCAGCAGTATGTCTAATGGCTTATAAACCTAAATATCGGGTTTCGACACCTACGGTAGAAGAGCACAGACAGCCCGTTGCGTATCCTTGTGCAAAACAACAAACAAACTATATTGTATAAAACTAATCGGGGGGCTTATGTGGAATTCAAAACTTTCATAAATTCATTTAAATCACAGTCGTAGGTTTCGGACATTTTATAATACTTGCATTATTATTACGGTTTTTCTCCACAGCAGGAAGACATTTCCAAAATTTTCTTTATTTCACAGTATTCAAAGTATCTTCTACCGTACTCGCTAAGAAATATTCTTCAGCGTTTTAACGTCATCAGCAAGTTATGAAATATTTATCCTCAAGAACAGAAGCCTAGATTGTTAAACCAAATAAGCAGCACTAATCTCTGAGGGACGGCCACATAATTCCGTTTGCTATCATCATTTATTTTCCCGCCAACAAACCAGTTTTCTATGTACTATTTAACGTGCTCATTAGGTTTGTTGATGCCTCATCCAGTTAGTTTTAACTAAGTAGTTTTTAGTAGCTAAGTGATATCGAATCTATTTCCAGTCTCCATGTTGAAAATTAACTTCTGATCTTGTGTGTCATTAAGGAGATTCCATTCTTGGTTGACGAATTTAGATAGATTCTTATTCGGTATTTGTTGGAAAGAGGGGGAATATACGTTGCTCTTTGGGTTTTAATAATTCTTAGAATTTAAGGCAGTTCAGAATAAGGAAATGGCAGGAGTCTGTGGAGTCGAGAAAAGGCAAAAGAAGCGAAGCTGAGGTGGTTTGGTCTCGTGAAGAGAACAAGTAATAAGGAGAGCATAAGAGCCGCCAATAGCCGGCAAGAGAAGAAGAACAAGTGATAAGAAGAGCATTAGAGCCGCCAATAACCGGCAAGAGAAGGCTGGGAAAAGTAATAAGAACAGCATTAGAGCCGCCAATAGCCGGCAAGAGAAGACAGAGAAGGCCAGTAAAGCGTTGGATTAAAGAAGGCATGAACGAGAAAGGAATTGCAGAAGAACTGACAATGAATGAAGATGATTGGAGGAGGGCAACACGTGTGAAGGACAGCGATCCCTGCTAAACGGAAAAGCAGAGTAATAATACATCAAGTCAGTATTCGGAAGAAATGATAAAATTCATAATAAGTGCGCTGAAAAGGTATTCGACATTAGCTCGTATTGGATGTCTTGGTTTATTAGAGGACCCTTGATTGGCAAAATTTAATCTATAGTGAGCCAATCTTTTGTTGCCTTAAGTTCAATCACTTTTGGCGATGTTTTGTTCTTTACAGGCACATAAACTGCTGTATTCGCACCTCCTATCAAAGTATTTTATGGATATTGGACAATAAAACAAGAGTTTTCAAGATAGTTGGTGTTCTTCTGCCAAAACTGTGAATTGTCTCTCAGTTCTGAGGTTTCAAGGAATTATCCCTTGCATTGTCTTGAAGTTTGCTTGTCTTTTGTGAATGTAACAAGCTTTACATCAAGAAAACTTCATGCAGACATTAGTTAAGTGAAGAAAGGAAACGTGGACCTTCCAGCACACAGTTGGGGAACACTTTATTTAAGTGAAGAAAGGAAACGTGGACCTTCCAGCACACAGTTGGGAACACTTTATTTAAGTGAAGAAAGGAAACGTGGACCTTCCAGCACACAGTTGGGGAACACTTTAGTTAAGTGAAGAAAGGAAACGTGGACCTTCCAGCACACAGTTGGGGAACACCTAGTTAAGTGAAGAAAGGAAACGCGGACCTTCCAGCACTCAGTTGGGGACACTTTAGTTAAGTGAAGAAAGGAAACGTGGACCTTCCAGCACTCAGTTGGGGACACTTTAGTTAAGTGAAGAAAGGAAACGTGGACCTTCCAGCACTCAGTTGGGGACACTTTAGTTAAGTGAAGAAAGGAAATGTGGACCTTCCAGCACTCAGTTGGGGAACACTTTAGTTAAGTGAAGAAAGGAAACGTGGACCTTCCAGCACTCAGCTGGGGAACACTTTAGTAACTTGAGAGTCTATATTCTGGTACAGACTCCTAGGACAAATTATAAAATCGACTCCATCCAAACATGTGGAGTTGAACGAGAAACTCGTAACTACGAACAGTTCACTGATGGTACAAGTAGAAAACTACACTAAAGATAGTTTTTTTACCATGTAAGTGTGGATAATAGTTGGATAAAATCAACTAAGAATTTGGACAAAATTTAAAAAGCATAAGTGTCTTAAACCTAAATGTCTAACGAATCGTTGGACTTAAAATAGAAAACATAAATTTCCTACATAACTTTTTATTTTCAGATTACATGTATTAGTGTTTTGTTTTTGTTTTTTTTACATTTTGCATCGTATTTCATTGTTCAAAAACGATTATTGTTAAATTTATATTTTAATTAATACAGAAGAAATAATTTTGCGCTATTGCTATTTTCATTCAGTTTGTCAAGAACGTTTTCACTGTGTTTCGTATAACACAAATAATTATGTAAACAATAGTTTGTGTTTTCCTTGTTTTATGTAATGCATATATTTATGTAAATAATAGTTTTGTGTTTTTCCTTGTGTTTCATACATATACTAAAATATATTTAGAAGAGAAAATGTTTCCTTTGACGAAAACTATCAAGAAAAACTGGTGTATCATTAGTAGTGCATGTCAGCTTCAAATCGCTAGCGAAAGAGTAACGCATATTTTATTTAGGCTTAGCATTTGAGTTTTTCTCACGTTATCGTTTACATTAGTGTAAAATGTAATATTAATTGCATGTGCTGATATTAGGTAACACTTTGCTCAGAACTTCAGTTTCGATCAACAACTTTCTAATCTTATCGAAAACAAACTGATTTTGACGCATCTTTCAACAGGTCACAACGTTTCCTAAGGAAAGTAGATTTCTAATCACGTTTTGTAAAGTGTTGAACTAGGCCTAAAAGGAAGGTAATTTTCTAATCATGTTTTGAAAAGTGTTGAACTATGCCTAGAATGAAGTTAGATTTATAGTCATATTTTGTAAAGTGTTGAGCCAAGCCTTGAAGGAAGGTGGATTTGTAATAATTTTTTTAAACACGTTGAGCTAGGCCTTGAAGGAAGGTGGATTTGTACTCATATTTCGTAAAGTGTTGAGCTACGCCTTGAAGGAAGGTGGATTTGTAATAATTGTTTTAAACACGTTGAGCTAGGCCTTGAAGAAAGGTGGATTTGTAATCATATTTCGTAAAGTGTTGAGCTAGGCCTTGAAGGAAGATGGATTTGTAATCATATTGTTACGTCGCCTTTTGTTGATTAACTTTCCGTAACTTCGTTGCGACGAAACTTTAACGACACAAGTCTTTACTTAATAAAACTGGTTTATTCTTTCCGAATATAACTCTGCGATACACTTAATCTCAATACTCGCGCTAAAACAACACTGTAACGAACGAACGTTAACTTCAACAATACCGTGTGACTGCAGTTCAATTACTCATTATCTACCCACACATTACATTCCCCTCTTTTATATACCAGCCTACCCCATATCTAGTAAGAACTTGAACATTCGACAAAGTACATGATAGTTCTAGAAACGTTGCGTCATAGTAGTCACGTGACTCGCTGACGCAACAATAGATTAACATAATTATTTAGATAAGAATCTG